TCACCAGTAAGTACATCTTTCAAAAATAAATAAATAAATACTAACATCGCAGGCTTAACTTTCGGAGCTTGGGTTGAGTCCCAGGCTTGAGATGCTGTTTTGGTTGGTGGAGCCCTTCCACCAATCAGGAGGCAACAGGAAAAGTGAAGCCATGCCCCTTTCCTGAGGGGAAGGAGAGAAGAGCTCCCCTGGACCTGACTGAAGACTGCAACACTGTCCGGTCCAGAAGACTTTAGGGCCGGAGCCCTGGAGAGTATAAAAGGAGCTGCATGCCCAGCACAAGGCAGATGCATCGGGGATGGAGAAGAGAGAAGAGCGGGGCTCGGGAGAGCTGGGGAGAGCTGCTCAGCAGGGCGAAGCAGTAGCCCATAAGAGCCCCTGAAGACTTCCAATGGCAGGGAGCTGCAGATGGCTCCAGCATTTAGGATCTTGGTGAGCAGCATGGCATGCTGGGAACTGCATGAGGTGGCTCAGGTCTGCAACCTTTGGCGTGTGGCCAGAGACAGTGCACAGGCCGGTGCATGAAGCAGGATCTTTGGAGCTGCCTGCATGGCTCAGATCCCCAAGCTCTGCACAAGGCTGGGAGCTCGGGATAGGAGGCGCTGCACAGAGGGCGAGAGACCCTGGGAGCAGCTTGAGGTGACTCAGGTCTACAGGTGCTAGCACGGGGCAGCAGCTCAGTGCAGATGACACTGCACAGAGGGTCTGGGAGCACACTGAGCCCTGGTGCTGCACAAGGCTGCCCGGGCCTCCGACCCCTAGCACAAGGCGAAGTGTCCGCTACACACAGCGGTGCATGTGGCCCTAAGCTAGGCCAGTGGAAGCAGAGTCGGGCAGCAGGAAAGCCTGGTGGGGAACAGAGCTTGACCTGGAAAACAGGAAGCAACCCTCCGGGACTGTGGAGTAGCAAGTTATCCTGGAGAGAGGGTCCCCACAGGAGAGGGACACCCAGGGTTGTGAAGGGGCAACACATGAGCCGCTCCTGGGTGATGGGGGGCAGCTTAGGAGTCTTTGGGGTCACCCTCTTTTCTTTCCCCCCCCACCTCCTTTCCTGTAGTGGTACCTTGGGAGTGGGGTCCCTGCCCTGGAGGGCATCTAAGGATTACTAGTTATGTTTGTAGACTGTGCCTTACATAGTTTATGTGAATAGGTTGAAGTAATAGTTTGTATATTTATAAGGTTGCCCGATCAATATACTTTGTTCTGGGTTGTTCTATTGCTCACTTGTATTTCTGAATAATTATTGGGGGTGTGGGGGTGTGTGTGTACATACACACCCCCCAATAATTATTCAGAAATGCAAGTGTGCAATAGAACAACCCAGAACAAAGGATATAGATACACACACACATATGGTATAGGGTTTATTGTTTTGAAAATCTGTACATGTACATAATCTACAACCTTACCCTTTAATGGTTTTGTGATAATAATAAATTTGTATATAGTTAAGTAATTGATTGACTGGGCCTAACTCTATAGGGGACAGAGGCGCTGGGCTCCTGTGTCCCTCCACAGCACACGCCCTGCCAATAATTCCCTCATTTAGAAAGAGGAGTACAAACCTGTGTACACCTGGGCTACACCACTATAAAACAAAAGAGCTGTTTTTATCCTGATTGAGGCTTTTCTACATGCCTGTCAAAAATACTCACTAAATATAACAGCTACACTTACAAGACCTTTAAAAACATCTATAATCATTTACAACATATTCTATTAATGCCTATCAGCAGTACCATGCAAGAAACAGCTGGAAATAAGTGTCTCAGCAGTAGCACTTAATAACTTACATTTCATAAAAATAAAGATTAACCTTATTCTTAATCATGACCACAGTGCACTTACATGTGGAAGAGATTTAATAATGAGTTAAGAGTTTCATGGAAAATTCTTCTATATAAGAATACAAGACAGTTTCTATTTGAGCCTGGGAGCAAGAATGCCCGATTGGCATAAAAGAAGAGAAACAGTGGATCACAAACAAAGTTTGTTTTAGGAATTAAAAACTTCCTGTACCAGACAGGATTCAGTCTGAGAAACTCAGAAAAGTATGTAATACTGTATATGCAGGACTGGATGCACAAGTACTGAAACTAGTTTATTCTCTGGAGGTAATACTATGAGTGCAATATGGAAAAATGTGATAATTAAATAATACTTACTTAAGAGCTCTAACATGCCATATTCAACCCCTATCAAAGACCATTTAGTGGCAAGCAAGGAAGTAAAGTAATACACTGTAATTTTTCATTATAAGTGTGTCAACAAAGCAAGCTTGTTGGCAGGTTTGTAAACATTTTTCCAGTTCTAGCATTATAGTACCTTTCCAATTCAAAGTTATTGTCAAAATTTCTCTCATTAGCATAACTTTAGACTTCACAAAGTATTAAAAGTATTTCTCCCAATACCTCCTGCTTATACTTGCTTCATCTATTGTTCCTGAAAAGCTGACACTGATCAAGTTGCAATGGAAATCACAATTAAGTATATTAATAAACCTAGGACAGATATAAGGAGGATAATTACGAACAACTGTCAGATGAAGAAATGTATGCAACCGGTGAGCTGACATGCAAAAAAGTAATTCTGATCAAGACAATTGCTCATCTAAAATTTTTAAAGCCTTAGGGAACCAAAAATCTTATATTAGTAGAATCTTTGTTCTTAAATGTGTGCATGCAGCTTTCACTAACACCAACACAAGTTAAACCTATATATGCAATGCCCCCCACAAAAAAGTACCACAAAATGTTTAAGCTAGTTAATTTTATTAAATTGTGACTAAATTTGTTTTAGAAAAAACTTCACCTCTTTTTATTTTTAAAGAATGTTTGTATTTGCAAACATGGCTCAAGGGATCCAGATCCTCTTGCATTTAGATTTCCTAGGAATCTGTGTTGTCCACTATAAATCTTTTTGCCACAAAAAATAACCAAAAGTGTCATACATAGAGAAAGATTTCACGATCTATAAATGGCAGAATGGTTTTGCAATTTGGTCAGCTGATAACAGAGACAACCAACTGGCAGACACTGTACCATAAACTATTCTTAACTCCACACAACTGAACTTGCCACTGACTCCCAAGTCAAGTGTTTGAACTGGCAGGCAGGGACTTTTTTTGTTGTTGTTATAAACTGAAATAAAGTAAGATACCAGAACATAAGGTCTGAAATGTGAAGACTTCCTCCCACTCCTCATTTCTACGGAACTGAATGAAAATACTAATGCATTTTGATATGTTAACAATCATAAGCCAAGAATATTTCAAATGGTCACAAGGGCAGTATGCAGATACACATACAAAAATAGGTAAATACACCTTGTTATCAGAAACACATAGCAAAAGACTGACAAACATAATACACTTAGCAAAATTTGCTGATTAACACAAATCTTTTGACAAGCCTTCACCTAGTTGTAAAATTAACTGGTAACAATCCTTAAAAATCACCAGAAAGCTACATATTTCTTTTGTTCATAGAATGAGTAGCTCTCAAAACCACACAGACAGACATCAGCATCAACTGCTCACAAGATTCTCCCATCCTGAGAAATGCAAACAATCAAAACTTGAAGAACTGCTGCTCAATGCACATGTTCAGTCTTTAACAAGCAGAAGGCAGGGCAGGGTGGCACATTGGAGACCAACTGGCTCAGAGAAGAATAAGCTTTTTTAGACAACAACCTATTCAGTCAGATGCTACCAAAGTCTTAAACAGAAAGGCAATGGAGGAGGGAAGATGCATGTTTCCCCACAATGAAAACCACAAAAGCTGGGTTTTCATTAATGATCTATACCCTAGTCATGACTGCTCAGAACTTGAGGACATAACTTCAGTCACTACCTTTTACTTGTGCCACTTACTAACTACTGGCACAAGTCAGTACGTGTCAACCCCTGAAACAGGAGACACAGGAAGATGAATGTAAAGAAAAACACTATAAGAATTAGTCACAAGCCAAAACTATATTTTCCTTCTGAGAGAGAGAAAAGTTAGCTAGATTTACTTGTTAATTACTGTGTTTTAGATGCTTTGAAAGCATACCAACTACAAGCCCTGAGGGTTGGAGGGGACTCGGGTTTTTGATTTGTAAATGATTTCATTTTTCTTTTCTGGACAGAGAGGTTAGTTAAAATTCAGCTCTATTTAAAAACCTAAGCTATCAAAAAAGGAAGAAGGTACCTGGTTTCTGGTAACGCTCATTTTTACTTCGCAATTTGTTTCATTATTTGATTTAAATTCAAATCAACAAAACCTCAAAAACAATTATTTTTCAAAATGAAGTTGTCTGTCTAGACCACCCACATTCAATCAACCACTGACACGGTTTAAGCATGTGGTTATATAAAAATAATGGTAAACAAAAACGTGTTTAAGCACTGTGGTCTGAGAATCACAGCTGCATGCGTCTTGGCACAATACTTGATTAATATATTTAGTGTTGCAAACAAGGCAATGTTTTACTTTTCTGGATGCATGACTTAACATTCTGCTGTTGTCAAATAAATTCTCTGATCCTTCACCTGAACTGACAAACCACAGGTGGAACATCAAGACTGTATAAGCCCCAACACCTGTGGCCAAATACAGCACAATGAATACGGTCTACATTCAAAACAAGAAAAAAAATCTCAGTGATCAGAGACGTACCTTATTTAGTAATTACGCTGTTAAAAATATTAACAACATTTCTGTGGATGTTTGGGGCGCAACCCCAAATTGACCAATGACCTTCTAAGTGTTTTGTTCCTATTACAGACAGCTAAAAGGGCTTAAAACCAAATCACTGTTTTTCTGAGCGGACGTGGCTGAACTACCACCTACAGCTTCAAAATCTAGAGTGCTTTTAACCATTCTTCAGTTGGAAAAACTATACAAATCAAGTAAGACCAACTAAAGATTCTAATTCTTCATAACATCCCCCCCAAAAAGGCAAGACAGACACAGAGATGTCAAACAGCCAGGCCAGTAGGTAGTGGAAAACATGCTCACCGAAAGATAACTGCTAGCATCCACATGGTCAGTGATGGTCTGGCGCTCTCCCCGTTGATTAATCTTCCTGAACCTTCGCCGAGACTGTCTGATGGGAATTTCTCTTTGCAAGATATTTTCTTCATTGTCTTTGGAGTTCTCCACCTGAAACACATGTTCAGGATCCTGGTTAAACATCCAATTCTTCCAAATCATTGAAAGTCGATGGAACTTTATTAAGCTCATGAGGAAGGCATTAATATTAGCTCTTAACAGTTAATCTGCTTAGGAAACAGACTATACAAGTCTCTTAAGCAAACCAGTGCTCCATGGCTCAAAAATGATGTTATTACAATGAGCTGGAGGCCACAGTTTCCTTCCAGGAAGTAGAAAAAAAAAAAAGAAAAATAGAAAGAACCACACGTATCCTCTACATCGAGTTGCTTACCAGCAGCAAACCCTCCTACTGCACACGTATATTATAAAACAGCAACTGCACACTAGTTATCAACTGTTCAAAGCATATCGACTCCAAAGCACATTTATTTTAAAATGTTATACTTACTATAGTTACAAGGTTAGGCATTAAAAACATGTTAGCTGTCACATTTTAACAAAGACCAATAGGCTTTAAAGCAGGGATCTGTACTTAAACTGGGACACATTAGTTAGTCAAGGAAAACCCTAGAATCTCGCACAGCTCTCCCGTGATCTTTATTTATGAACACTGTATTTCACACACAGAAAATATTTTTTTAAAAATGTGCAACTGCTCTAAAACTTCAATAGCCTTTTTTGAACATCAACATTAAAAAGAAGGCATAGTTATGTACGTTTCCTATATTTAAAATGAAGTACTTGGCATGTTCCAATTACTTTTTTTTCACATGAAAAACAGGCCATCCTTCCATGTTTCCTTCTGATGTCTTGGAAAAACACCTCAAGCAGGAAACAGAGCAGACGGGCGTATACAAATAGGCTGCAACTGGGCTTTTAATTTCTTTGTAATACACTTAACATGCAATAGTTTCTACTCTCTTTATTCACGATTTTTAAAAGTTTCAAATACTAAAATTTAACAGCATGGCTATAAAACTAAAACATGTCTACTGAAATAGTTAAATAGCCAACTTCATTTTCTCTTCCAGCAGTTACCTTATGAGACCTTGATCAATTTACTTGAGGCCAAAATTGTAGAAGAGAGAACAGAAACAGGTCAAACCCCTCCACCCCCCAAAAAACAAAAACAAAACCAGAAGGCAAACAACTGAAAACAATGAACACGCCAACCCTAACTCTCATTCTGTATAAGCAATTTGCGAGAGAGACCAGATCTACCCGTTCCTAGATAGGAAGGCAAATTTTAGGAATTTTTGTGTTAATCTCCTACAGATAAAACCACCACCATTTGAAAGCAGACAGGATAACTGCTTTCGTAGCTGGATAATGCAAGAAAAATTATGCTGAAAGATACTGAGCTGACCAAGGGATACAAATCCGACAAGATGATTAACACTGGATTAGAATTTAATGTCGTACCACACGGATATGAAAAAAGAATGCAACTAAAGCAGCGTGCAGACATTCACTTCTACTGGAAATTTCTTCCAGTAGAGAAACAGCCCAGGAGCTGGACTTGCACATGTTGCTCCAGCCCCCATGGCTGAAGAGCTTCACAGGCTTCAAGTCTCCAGCCAGGCGGCACTAGCAGGCTGCTCCCTGGGTCAGCCCTGAAAAGCAGCACCTGCCACAGACAGAGGGAAGGTCCTGGCCCAGGAGAATCCCCCCGCTCCCATCCTGTCAATCAGCACTCTTCCTCCCATGGTGGGAACTCTCCCAGATCTCCTCCTCCGGACAACAGCCCTGCTCCTTGCACTCCTCGGGGATCACCGAAGGGGTGCAGGAAGAGGAGGGAGTGTTCAGTTGCTGCGGCAAGGCTGTGCCTCGGCAAACACTGGTCCAAGCTCACCGAGGGTAGCACAGGGCGAAATGGGGACACTCTGCTGTAGTGGCAAAGCCCTGGCTTGCCCTGCTCTTGCAGCAAGGAGGATCTGGAGAGGCCAGGACTGAAGTGCTTGGCTGGGCTGGGGAAAGTCCAGGACACAGCCACCTTCCAGTTTCTCCACTTTCCCCTTGGTCCGCCACCACTCAGATGAGCAGCGGAGGCAGCAATTTAAAAGCCAAAGGGACCCACAGGCAGGTGCATGGAGAATGTCCCCAGCCCAGCTCCCCCTTGCTGCCCCACCTAGGGGCAGAGCAATGATTAAAAAACCAACAACTGGAAGCAGGGTCCCTGAGGCCTGCTCCCAGCTGCCGGCTTTTACATTACCAGCCTGCCGTTCAGCTGGGCATTAAGTGGGTGCCAGTGGGAGCCAGCAAAAAGTCCCCTGCCTCTTCCCAAAAACTGAGGACTGCTTGGTGTGGGGGAAAAGGTAGAGAATAGTGGCTGCTTCTCCCCTCCCCTCACCTCCTGATCTATGGTGCAGGGAAGGAGCAGCTGCCCTCACCCCTCCTTGGTCCTGGAAGACAGGGAGCCTTTCCAGTGGCTCCGCTCTCCCTGGTCCCCAGGAGGAGTTAAATCAGGAGAAAATGTATAGGCCTTCAGTCTGCAGGGAAAAAAAAACCTCTCCCAGAAGCAATTTAACTCTGGTTGTTGCCAGCTTATTTTTCTCCAAGAGCAGCCATTTCTGATCTGGGAGAAAAAGCCTAAATACCTGCAACACTTTTGGTGTCTACTGGGACAGCAGCGATTCTCCCAGGAGAACACCTGTACCTGCCTTAGTGGAAGTTTCACCAGCAGTTTTTAAATGACAAGCAACAAGCATTTACAGAACAGAAAGGCCTTGAGGGGTGACCATCAGAATATATGGATTTTTAGTTACTGACAAAGCAACTGGTAAGTAGAACAAATATAAATCTGAACCTTTAATTTCTTTTAAAGTTGCCCTATTAAAATAACAAGCTTGATTTCAAATTTTAACTTACATACCATATCCAGGCACCTGTTGATTTGTAGCAGAGGTGTCAAATCTAGTCCACAGGCCAGATCTAGTCCACAAAGCCACTTAATCTGGCCAGTTGGACTACTGAAAGGCTACTGAAAATGGGGGCATGGCTAGAGGAGGCGTGAATAGCCACAGAATCCAAGGCCCTGAGCTCAAGTGAACATGACCATCCACAGCAAAAGAGCAAGCAAGGGCTGTGCCAACACAGACTCACTCATCCTACGGCCACCAGTCCTACAGCTGCTTGCCCTACCACGACTCTTCCTGCTACAGCCACTGCCCCTTCAGGCCAGATCTGGCCCAGGGCACGCAGTAAGTTTGACACCCCAGGTTTATGAGACATGCAGTTCTATGCCAAATGTATTACTTGCTTTTCTGATGTCTGAGTCCAATCCTATAAGCTTCTACACAGCTACTTACAGGTGCCAAGCTCCTATTATCAAGAGGACTGAAAGCATTCGGTATCTTCCAGGATCATAATAGCTTTCACATGGAGTTCCACAGACATTGTTACGATGTGCGCAGAACTATGGCAAAGTAATCCTCTACTATGATGTAAAACTATTTTCCTTCCCTTATTCTACATGAAAAATAAGAACTGAGCCCAAGGCTTGTTAGCGAGGGTGGGGAGGGAAAAAAAAAAAAAAAATCAACTGTAAGTGGAAGCTAAGAAAATAAGACCACCTGCTTCCTTCAGTTAATACCACTACTGTATAACTGTCAAAAAATATCAAAGCAGCTGAAAAGCCCTTATACAACACAGCTTGAAATTTAGTAGTATTGTACATACTTATATCCTTTTCTTTCGTGTTGATACCAGGCAAAACAGCAGAGGTCTCAAAACTTATAGTTGCTATATTTATAGTAAGGTATCATTTATAATAACTTACAAATGGTTAAAAATTATTACAACTAACCATGACTTATAACCATCCATAACAATTTCTAACAGCATACTTATTATGCTTGATGAAAGTAACAAAACTGTTTTAGGTCACTTGACACTTTCCAATGAAGGCCGTTTTCAGCCGTTTATAAAACGTCAAACAAAGAGTTCAGACTGAAATTCTCTCTGCTGGGCGTCTGTCTCGGGCTGAATTTATTTGTGAAAGTTTCAGCAAAGACATTTCAGCTGTTCCAAAGACAAAGTTTCAAAAATAAAAATAAAGCTTTATTATAACAGTTTCTAAACTTTTCCTAGTGACCCCACACAGAGTCAGGTAATTTTATTGACTAACACCACACACAGTTCCCACTGTTCATGTGCTCTCAATAAATATGGAGGTTGGACATACTGCACCTCATGCGTTCTTAGGTTTGACATTCCCATTACAATCTTTCTGGCCCGAGGGCTAGGGACAGAAGTTGCATATAAACCAGTACAAAAGTGATCAACCAGTTCAAATCTGTAACCCAACAGAAGTTCAGTGCGCATAAACCGCTTTCAAAATGGCCAAAACCAGTTTAAAATAAACCTGGATAGATGTAGTATCAGACTTCACCGATTTAGGTTAAATCGGTTTATTGAACTTCTGTTCCAGATTCCATAGATTCATAGATTGTAAGGCTGGAAGGGACTTCAGATCATTGGGTCCAGCCCCCTACACCAAGCAGGAAAAATAACTTGGGTTCAGGTGACCCCAGCAAGGTATCTGTCTAGTCTCCTCGTGAAGATTTCCAGGATAGGTTATTGCATTACCTCTGGAGGGAGCTTATTCCACCGTCTGGACACCCTGGCTGTGAAGAAGTTTTTCCTAATATTGAGCCTGAATCGATCTTCCAGGAATTTGTGGCCATTACTCCTGGTTCTCCCCTCAAGTGCCCTGGTGAACAGTTGCTCACCGAGCCCTTGATGTACTCCCCTACTGTAGCGGTAAGCTGCTACCAGGTCCCCTCTCAGCCTTCTTTTTCTCAGGCTGAAGGTTCCAGCTGCCTCAGCCCTTCCTCATATGGCTTGCCTTGTAAGACTGATCATACGGGTGGCTCATCTTTGAACTCCCTCAAGCTTGTCCATGTCCTTGTTAAAGTGCGGTGCCCAGAACTGAACGCAGTAGTCCGGCTGCGGTCTCACCAGTGCTGAGTAGAGTGGAAGACTCACCTGCTTGGTTTTGATGGAGATGTGTCGATTGATGCATGCCAGAGTATTATTTGCCCTACTGG